GCTCTTGAGAGTGTGAGACAGCAAGTCATCCCCTTAGATCCATACACTCCAGTTCAGGGCTTCAGGTGGACAAGCTTTTCACATTACCTGAGTTTACAGCTGGAGTTTAGCAGAGCCAACCTTCTCCACCCTCACCCCACCAATAAAGCCATTAGTTACTGGAACAACTCATTCACAGAAAAAAGTCATTCCTGGGAGAAAAAGACAACTTTCTCAAGGAAGAAATGTAACTTTGCTTTAACTGCCATGAGTTTTAAGGCTTCTTTGTTGAGAGAAGTAAATCAATGAAGAAAAGTTTTTCAGATTTAAGACAGGCAGAAAAGTCCCCTAAACAGAAAGGGGCAGGTGCCCATATTCTTATCAGCTCAGGACCTCCGTGAAGACAACAGAAGAAAAAGCCCATACAGGAGAATGCCAAGAGAGACTGGCTTTTGGAGAGATCTGCTAGAACCCCCTTCCCCAAATGCTTTCTCTTTTGAACGAAAAAAGTGCTTTATACCCCACCCTCCCAACTTTTTCTTCTTCACCCTACTCCCGATTCAGGTGAGCTTCTGAGGATACAACTGCCCTAACACCCTCTAGGAGCCACTGCCACCTCTATGAATGCAACAATCTAACATTATGTTTTTATGGACGTTTCTACGATAGCATCTTTTTTCTGCACTAAGTAGATAGGTTCAATTTTATTAAAACCCCATTTTTATGAAATGTTCAGTGTGCCAAATATGGTATTAATAGAAAATACAGCTTTCACGTGTTTATTTCCACACTTGTAAGTTATTGAAAACACCCGGTGGATACCCCGCATTGTTGTACACCTGGTAATTTGACTAAGCAAGTAGAGGACATTCTTATCTGCAACAAGCATACAATCTAGCTCTAAACAAACATCTAAGAAACAGTCCAAGAAGAATTCCAAGTCAATGCATTAACAACTCAAATGTTCATAACCGTAATTTGTGTGGCTCAGCTAAAATCAAGCAAGGCTGCTGCTCTGGTTTTAATAATAGAATACTCAGCAAAGACTCAAGTGAACTGGCATAAAATGGAAAAAAGTGAACTTCTTGGGAGCCTGTGAGTGAATTTTTTTGTTTTTTTGTTTGCTTACTTACTTACTTATGTGTAATTGACATTTCACCCTTCTTTCTGCCTCATATGTGGAAAGTAAAAACATAGGGAGAACCAATCAGAAAGAAGAGGGGTTATTTTTTTTCCCCTTTCATAGTTTGTCCTCTGAGAGATTAAAGAGGAAAACACAGAATTTGAAGTCACATCCTGCTGCAGGAAAGAAAGCTTGGAGGAGTTTCCTTTGAAATAAATCTCAAAGATCAGTAGTGTTAATGTCTTGATGTCTCAGAACTGAAGCCTGCGAAAGAAGTCAGGAGCATCTCTCTGAACTAGAAAGAGAACTGGTAAATAATGAGAACAGAGAAGTCTAATGACAATGGCAACAAGTTTTATTTAGGTTTTGAGTTAATTTAAAGGATTTTTCTATGAGATGATATGTTTAAGCTGATTTGATTTAGTAAAGGCTTGCTTTTGAAAAAATGCGAAAGGCCTGCTTCTCTTGTGCTGAGACCAACCATTATGTAACATGAATAGGCTTTGCACTTCTCTTGGGGCTGGGACCAATGTACCATTGTTAGCTGATGTGTAGCAAACCTGATTGTGCCAAAGTTCCCCAAATTATATTTCTTCTTGAGCAAAATGTCTTGAAACCTAGTACTGTATGACTCAAGAAAGCTAAACTTCAGCCCCCTGTGGTAACTTGTGCAGAATGCCATAACCAAATATAAGACTGAGCGGCTAACAGAAAAACATTTGTTTTCTCATTGTTCTGGAGGCTGGAAAGTCAAGATCAGAGTGCTAGGAAATTTGTTTTTTTTTCTGTAACCTCTCTTCCTGGCTTGCAGACAGTGACCTCTTTGCTGGGTCCTCACATGGCCTTTTTCACATGGTTGTGTGTGTTGCTGGTGTCTCTTCCTTGTCTTATAAGGACACCCACCCTATTGAATTAAGGCTCCACCCTGATGACCTCATTTCATCTTAACCTGCTTAAGATCCTATTTCCAAATACTGTCACACTGGGGTTTAGGGCTTTGCCCTACGAATGTGGGGGGAACACAGTTGAGTCCATAACATCCTTCATCTACCTGATGACCTTGTGCTGCCATGTTTATTTTGATGTGGCAGCACCCAAGTATGTCTGGTCAGCTGGTGACGCTGCCTTTTCCCAGAGCCCTCTCTCTCCTTGGTCTTATCTCACCCCTCCACCGCCCCCACCCCAGTCTAGAGAACCTAAAATTTGACACATGTGAAAGCATTTTCCTCTCCTCTCCTCTCCCTCTTTCTCTCCACAATCCCTGGTTAAAGGATTTTCTCTACATCATTTCTTCCCCCTCTCTCTCCTTTTCTTCATTCTGAATCTGGCTAAACTTTAATGACAGGTAACAGTTCCTTTTGTACCCTGGAAACATGTCTGAGAACTAAATTCTTCAAAATTGGTGGTTGATATGCTAGTGAGAGGAACAAAATTAATTTTAAAAATTTTCTCTCAGGTCTGTCAGTGTGACTATTGTCTTGCTGCATAATCCTATTTTGGAATAATAAATTTAAGTCGTCTCAGGTGGTATATAATATGTTTGTATGATTCGTTTTATATCTGTGACTAAAAAAATTAGAAGAAGAAATAAAACATTTTATATGTGTAGAGCATAAAGTAGAATTTAGAATTCAAATAACTCTATTTTGCTGTAACATGAAATGTTTTTCATTTAGGTTCTTGACCTCCCTATTAATAGGTAAGTGAGGGTACTTAATCACCACGCATTGATGCAGGGAGCAGTTCAGCCAAAAAAGAACAAGTTGAATGAGCTACTGGAAAACTCTTAGGCAGAAGTGCTAATTTTCTTCTTATATTATCGACTTCAATTGCCAGTAATGCTTAAAGATGGTTAAAAGAAAAGACGTAAGTGTTGTTAGTACACTTACACACCTTGTTAGCAAATTGTTGAAACTCACTAAAAAGCCCTAGAACACTAGTGTTGAGAAGAATCCAGAAGATGAGAATCATTTGTTTCCTCCTAGGTCCTCACTAGGTATCCCGAAGTCACTCATAATTCTGAAATTTTTCTTCAGGCACCAACATTCACAGTTTTTGAACTCTCTCTGCTATGAGACTTTCTAGTTACTGGAATTCTTCTCCCAGGTGACCCTTCATGGGAGGAGATATTCCTTAATAGAAGTGTTCTTATCATTTCTTGTTCTCATTAATGGACAAGAAGCAGAAGCAGAAGACTTACATTTTCATTTGTTTATTCCATAGATATTTATCGAGTGTCCATGTTTCAGGCATTGCTTTAAGTTCTGGAAACACACAATGACCAAACCACAAACCATACTCTTAGAAGCTCACTATCTAGTGGAGATGACAGAGAGAAGAAGGAACGATTGCCGGAGCATAATTAGAGTGAGATACTAAAGGAGAGAGCAGGAAGAAGGCACCACAGGGAAGGTTGTACTGTGCTTTGTCCTGAAGGATGAGTAGGAGTTTTCCAGGCTGGCAAAGAGAGGGAAGAGCACAAGAGAAACATGGGCTAAGACAGAGAGCAGTGAAAAAGCATGACTATGAGATCACATCTTTATTTTAGTTATATTCTGCTCGACTCCAGGCAGAATCATGATATTGTATCTTTATATCTTTGACCAATCTTTGCCAATTAATCTTTTAACAACTGGAACCAGGGGGATATTTCTATGTTTTCATACAGTGAATGACCTTACACATTGGGGGCCAAGTTCATTCTTAAATTCAGATTGAAGTGGTTTCATCCAAATATTTTATACTACATTTTCCTTCTGCTCTGTAAAAACAAAGACAAACCACATTTAAATGACAGTGCTGCCTCAGGGAACTGTGGCTCATATAGGAACGCCTTTATTAGACGTGCACTTCAATCTGCCCAGGGAGACGATCTCCAGGGAAAGTAGTCTAGTCTGAGATAGTGGGGCTGTTCCTTCAGGTCACAGTGTGATTGCTGTGGGAGGAGGACATTTCTTCTCTGTTCTTCCCACTTGCCTTCCACCCTCATTTAAAGAAGTGGAGCAGCTGTTCTGATCCGTCAATCCGAGACATCCCCCTTCCTCACCAGGAGTGAGATGGCTTTAAGTGAGAAATACATGTGAGTCCAGAAATATTCACCTCTCTCTTTTCTGTATTTTATGTGACTGGGTTAGAGAATTCACCATAAACTCAGCTGCTCCCTGCCTGAGTTTTTTTCTTTTTGTTTTTCTTTTTTTTTTTTTTTTTTTTTCTTTTCACTTAATAGCTTCATGTGATGACCAGGTCCTCCCAAGATACAGATTTGAGTGGAGCCTGAGGCAGTGTGGGAAAAGGTCATGCTTGGCCAAAGCCACAGAACTTTTGCCAGAAATCTGCCTTTGTTGTCATTGGTCAGTGATTCTACGGTTATTAAAGTGGTTCTTGATTTTCCATTGAGCTACGTTTCCTTTTATAGAACTACCTTGGGTGACTTGGGAAAAGAGAGAACGGGGAGGAATGATGGACAGGTTTGGGGCATTCTCCTATTTTTGGATATAATACCACCAAATACTATAAAAAATATGCTCTCATTTCCTAACTTTCTCAGCGGCACTGAGCATCTGGGAACCAAAACTGCAGATAGAGAGGTTGGAGCGATGTTGGGTCAGCTCCTACTGGGCTGTGCTTGAGGTGAGCAAGAGAAGAAATTCATTTGGAGGCGAGGAAAAATATATCTGGTATTTGTTGAGGTTTTAGGAAAGAAGAACTCATTTATTTTTGTTACTTCACGCAATCCTCTAAGTGAATAATTAACTATTAAAAACCATTAACTCAGAAATTCCAGTCTGAAATTTATCCTTCAGACGTACTTTCTTGCCCAAGCAGATACACACATAGGAAGATCTTCCTTGCAGCCCTGTTTGTAAAACTGGAAACAACCCAGATGACCAAAATAACCGAAGAACTGCTTTAAAATGGTGCAATAATTTATGGTACATTGTACAATAAGATATCAAACTTACACTGAAAAAAATGATGTTTAAGTGGTCATATTTATTATGCAGAAATTAATTTTTCAATTAAACGAGGTACAAAACACTATTTATAGTATAATCCTGTGTAGAGACCAAAGTATGTGTATGCTTACATATTGGCAAAAGTTCCAGGAAAAGCCTTCTCCCAAATACACAATACTGTTAATAGTAGTTACACTCTTGAGGAATGGATGAAGTGCATTTGTGTGTTTTTTTTTAAAAAATTATGTGTACACATCACTTTTGTGATAAAATAGTTTTAAGAGGTAAGTAAGGTCTGATGCAAATAATAATAAAAGCAGAAGATATAACATTGTACAGATTTGGTTAACTACTTTTCCTTGAAGCAAGGTTTTTGTTTTTTTTTTTTTTAAGATTTTATTTATTTGAGAGAGAGGGTGAGAGAGAGAGAGGGAGTGGTGGGAAGGGCAGAGGGAGAGGAAGAAGCAGACTCCTACTGAGCAGGAAGCGTGACAGGGCTCTGGGGTCAGGCCCTGAGCCAAAGGCAGACATTTAACCAACTGAGCCATCCCGGCGCCTGTCTGAAGCACTTTTAACTTGTCTTCACTGGCATCTCTCCTACAGGACACATTTTTCTTCTGTCCTGGTCATTCCTGATTCCTCTCGAATATTGCCTTCTCTTCCACCCTCTTCTAAAGATTTGTACTGGACCTATTCTCTCACTGAAATGATTTTCTTCAAATAAACTGATCTGCCCCACTCTGGTTTCCTTTACTGTTTCAATGCTGATGATTCTCAAATCTATTTCTCAGCATGATCTCCTTTTCCAAATCCCAGATCAATAAATCTAATTACCTATACAAATTTGTACCTTACACGCAACATGCACAAAACAAAACTATTGTCTTACCTTCAAACAGTTCTTCACTCCTTCAATATTTCTCTTCTTAGGAAATGTCACTGTCAAAAGCCAGCAGGAGACACCATAGTCAAACAAAGCTGGGCTTATTTACTACAGCAAGGAAGACTGCTAACACAAGGAACAGGGGGCATCTCAGGAACAGCGTGTTAGAAGGGGATTGATACAGAAGATGGACTTGTGGTAGGTGATTTTGGAGAAGGTATATGGGAAATGGAATTGGCTCTGGAGTGGGTATGTTCCTCAGGGGCAATTCTATAATTGGTATCTTAACTCTTTTTATCTATCAAGCAGGAGGGCAGGAGGAATGGAGCAGGGCAGATTCTGTGGCTGGTAGAGAAGAAGCAGTCACTCACATTTGCTGGAAGAGGGTAATATTTGGTCATTTTTGTGGTTTGCATTGTCCAGTGACAAAACTAAAACAATTTAGTAATGAATTCAGTGTCCTTCATTTGAAGGAAAATCATCCACGGATTGGGAAAGTACCGTACCTCACAAGCGGGGACCATTCTACCTGATGGATTTTGTACAAGAGCGAGTTTTACAGGGCATTAGAAGAGGCAACACAGAAACAGGGCGTGGTTGGCTAGGAGGTCAGGGCTTTCCTCCCAAGGCTAGCAGGCCCTGTATTATTCTAGGGTAAACGGAGTTAGCCCAAGCTGAGTTGGAAGACTATGAATGGCCATGATAGGATTCCTGGGCAGGGGTTTTGCATAAGTGCAGGCTGACTTAGATTTGTGATATGGCCTGGGCCCCTGAGGTGGTTCCATTCTGCTGGTTCTGATTTATGAATTAAATTTATCAGCATGGTATTTTTATTGTCTTTGTGCACAGTCAGGATTACAAAGGGTCTTTATTTTGCCTTGCACTGTCATGGTCACAGAACGAACTTGTTTGATGTTGGGCCGTTCTTCCTGCTCAGCCGAATACCATGGCCAGCAACTTGGCAGCAGTATTGATGCAAAATTGATCAAACGTTAAAAAAAATGTTAAAGAAAAAAGGAAAAGAGTTTTATCTGAGGCCAAGTCGGTACAACTGCCTAGAATACGCAGTCTTTATCTGGCTGAGACTGCTCCAGGGAAGGACTGTTGGGTGCAGAGTTATGTATGTATTTTACATAAAGAAAAAAAGCTACAAATCATCATGATGGAGGACATTCCAGGAAGTTAGATTTTATCTTAAGTTTTTAGTAGGTGGGGGGGTTGTCTGACTTTAATCTTATGGGAACCGGGGAGGTGGGTTTTTTGTTTTTGTTTTTTGTTTTTTTCTCATTTATGTTTGGAATGCTCCTTTTTTGGTTATTATTATTATTTTTTTAAACAAAGCAGATGTACGAAGTATGCTTAGGGCAGAAATAGAGCCTGTGCTTTGAGGTTTTGTGGAGTCATTCTGATCTTGATAATGTTAAAGTATAGCTTCCTTGGGAGCCCAGGAGCAGGGACCACAAACATTAACTGTTCAAATTTTCCTTTATCAACAGGAACAGGGATGCTAATTTTTTCCCTCACAACCATAGATCTAGTTGCCCAAGCCAGAAACTTTGGCGTCATCCTTGAATACTTTCTCTTTACCTAGCATATCCTGCCAATTAGCAAGCTCTCCTGATTGTCCTAAATAGCTCTAAAATCCATCAACATTCCCTTTCTCCATTCCACCACAATCATGGCTCACATTTTCTTCTGTGTTAGAATTCTAGCTCAATTCAGTGCCTCCATTTTGCTTCTTCCTTGCTGATTTTGTTGATTCCTTTCAGAATGTCCTTCCCTTTAAAACAGGTTATTCCTTTAAAACTACTTCTCAATCTTGGCTGCCAATTAGGATCACCTCCAGAGGCTGGAAGACAATACTGACACTGTTCCTTTTCCAAAGAGGAAAGAATTGCACTAATTCTTAATCACGTCCATTTTACATAGAAATATCTTCTAGGGAGGCAGAAGCCTTATCACCAAGCTAAATTTTGAAGGGAATGGTGAATGGTTGGAAGGGGGCAGGTGGAATGGCAGAGAAAGAGGTCTGAGAGGAAAAGAAAGATGAAGCAGAGAAGGGCTGAGAAGTCCTGCAAGCAGCTTATGGGGAATGTGACATTGTGATTGCTAATAAGAAATAAATATTTGGTCTTCAACCCCTGGCACGGAGCTCCCAATGCCTTGGAATTTCCTAGGTGAAGAAAACATCTTTTGTCAGAATATTTGCTTTCTTGGCTTCAGGTCCTGAAATCACCTCAGAGCCATAAAGATGACATAGGCATCTTGTTATTCTTTGCAAGCTCCTTTCTGCCAGACTGAGTTTATGTTAAGAGGTCACTTTTAGAAATTCCCTAAGGATGGAGCTGATTAGCAGGGAACCCACCATGAAGAGAGAGGGTTGCATCTATCAGTCCCAAGCCGTGGGTGGATTTGACCCACAGCAGTCTACTGACCCTCGTCCTTTACCTTTCCCAGATCCATCATTCCCTTTTCTCTCTCGTAATTATTGTCTTCTTCCAGTGATTCTCCTCAGCTCACGCTCTCTCGGTTGCAACCCTGGTTCCATTGATCTCATACGCTGAAATATCTTGTTGTCTGCTTCTTTTGGCCAATTCCCACTACCACTGTTTTCAGAAACCCTGTCTAGAACAGCTTCTTTAGCTCAAATCCAGTGAATCCTGACTCATCCTTCAAGACTCCATCATAGGGCCACCTCCACCAGGAAGTCTTTCCTTCCTCTGCCAGTCTTGACCTCTCCCACTTCTGTGCTCAGTAACACTGTACCCTACTTGCATTCCTGTCATTATTAAATTTGGGGGCTGCATATGTTTTCTTTCCTAGTTTTTGAACCTTGTTTCATTCATTTTGGTATCTTTCATACAGTGTCTGATTTACAATAGAAGTATAGTAGATGTTGGATACTTAAGTACTCACTGCATTTTTATTTTGTATCTCATGCACATTTTATAAATATAATTTTGTACATACTCAATATCTAATAAAAAACATTTTAAACGTTTATAAATAAAAAAGAAGTACATGTAAATTTTTTTTTAAAACAATGGAAGAATGTAAGAACATCCTTTCCCTCTTTTCATCTTTGTTACTAGCTCATAATATGATGAAAGAAGGGAGGGTGGGAGAATTGTGACAGAAATTAGTGCCAAGTAAATTAATTGCCTCCAGAAACTACTTTAAATTTTGTTTGGAGGCTGACAGCCATGGTCTCTCATTCCAGGTTGATTTCTGCTTCTAACACAAAAGGCAGAAAATGCACTTTTCAGATGGAATATGGCATTATCACCTAAGTGAGGAGAAAGTGAGAGAGAAAGTGAGGAGAAAAATAAGGGGGGAAATAATCTTAATTTTTTTAGAAATGAAGAAAATATACTCTAAATGATGGTAAATATGCTGAGTCCTTTGGTTGCTTATTTAACAAGTACTATTAAGCCCTTATTATGTGCTCAGAACTGCTGGGAGGGTTTAGCGCTGATGAGGACTGGGCAAAATTCTTTCTTTTTCGTAACATACCTGCCTCTCTGAATTTAAAACATCAATCTATTTTTTTGCCTTATAATTTGTGGGAGCCATCAAAGACAAATGAATATGTTTAAAGTATGCTTGAAATATCAAAAAGCTTCCTAAATGGATCTTATTATCTCTCCTGCTAGCACTGTCTTCTTTGAGGCATAAAGGATTTAAAAAGTAGGAACAAAGTTTTATTAATATGTCTTGATGGGTAGAAATGGACAGTGAAAAAAGATTTCAGGTGGAAATTTTACTTAGAGGCTTGTGCCTCTCTCATAGGGAAATTAGCTACGGAGAGGTTCTCCTTTCTCTGCCCTCAGCCCTCTCCCAGATTATGCAGAAAGGATGGTAGAAATAACTGCTAACCTGTCTTTTAAAACAACAACTGGAATACAGCAATGCCTTAGAACTGATTAGGATACAAACAAAATGCATTTCTATATAACTGATTTTGACTATTTGCCTTAATAAGTTTAGTAATTTCCTTCTCTGTCACCTTTTGGATGGGCTTAATACAACCAGGAAACCCAAGACAAGCAAGCTTTAGGACTCTGTATCATCTCCCTGCTAAGAAACTGCTGCAGTCACAGGTGAGGCTCCCTGGGAAGCCAACTGGGCAACAATGACTGGCTTGTGCCAAGAAAGGAGATGCAGGATGGGAAGATAAGAAAGCAGATTTAGGCTGAGGGAATCATCATGGAAGCACTAGTCAATTCTGCAAGAAGCTCTGAGGGTAAGCAAACTTTTCAAAGTGATCCTGAACTCTAGGCAGAGCTAGAAAGGGCTGGGTCTTCTAGCTCCTTCTAATACCGATAGGCCAATCTGAGGGCTTCCCGGGGAAGGGAGTGTAACTTTGGGCAAGGCAGTTGTCTTTAGCTGAGGAGCTGGGACTTGACAGCTCAACCCTCCTAGAAACTGGGGGAAAAAGTGCTTTTGTCTTGCAAGTCAGACCCGTGAGTGGTGCAACTCCATACACGTTGCATAGGCTGAAGAGGAGAAGACTGGGGCCCCTGAGGGACCTTGGGTTTGTGTAGCTAACCTACAGGCACTGAGGTTGGAAGAGGAAGGACATAAATATTCGTGTCACTAGGCAATTTAATAAAGAAGCTGGTGAGCTATTATCTTTGTGGTTGTGTACAGTTGTCCTGTGACATCCCTCAGTCTCTCCCCAGCTGGCTGCCTTCATTCATTCATTCACTCTTCAAGCTATTCTGTGATGATCTCTGAGAACAAATTTAGGGGAATTCTTGCTGAGAGAGCTTTCAAGTTTTAAAGTTTGAGACTTTTAAAAGGTTTTCAAAGATATTTATACCTTACATAATATCAGATTATGTGTAGTTCATTTATCACTAAAAGTTGATGGAAAGACATGTGTTTATTGAATAAACTGATAGAACTACAGGTTTGGAATTTTAAAGTCACCGAATCCTTCAGGATAAAGTGGAAAGTTGATAACTGAGAATTAGTGAAAATGAAATAAGAGGAAATTCTGTCCTCTGAACATAAAAGAGGACATTCTTTCATTCTTCTGGAAGAAAGGAAGATTGAAGTCTGTAGGGAATCCTTCAGCTGTGGACTGTGAAGTTGGGCATCAGAAGACTAACCCCGATCCACCACACCCTGGGTAGGAACTGACATTGCTGCCCTCTGAACTGAGTTTGCCTAAACTGACCTACTGTCAAGACAAATAGACTGGTTCAATGGGACAAAAAAATCCTATGAGCACAATTTTAATGTGTGAAACTTCAGAGAAGTTTAAACTTAAATTTTACCTGAGTACCTCATATCTACCTGGCAGAGGAAACATTTGTCTACCAAACATTTAATTGTTTCCATTGTCCTGTGATTTTCTTTCCTTCCTTTTGAAGTCCCAACCCCCTACCTTCTTCTCTTAATTCGGGACGGCATTTGTACCCCATTGTGCCTGACTACCATGTCTGTGTGCATTCCCCACACATATGTTATTAAATTTGATTTTGTCCTGTATTTATTTATTTATAAATTTTACTTTTTTTTTTCAGTGTTCCAAAATTCATTGTTTATGTACCACACTCAGTGCTCTATGCAATGTGTGCCCTGCATAATACCCACCACCAGGCTCACCGTATTTATTTATTTTAATCAGAAAGAAAGAGAGAGTGAGCACTAGCAGGGGGAACAGTCAGGAGAGGGAGAAGCAGGCTCCCCACTGAGCAAGGACACCCCCCCCCACCTCTGGTGTGGAGCTCCAACCCAGGACCCTGGGATCCTGACCTGAGCCGAAGGTAGACGCTTAACTGACTGAGCCACCCAGGTGCCCCAATTTTGTTTTGTTAAAAAAGAAAAAAAAAACTGACGAAGGCAAAAACAGGATTTTTTTTTTTTAAAGATTTTGTTTATTTATTTGACAGAGATCAAAAGCAGGCAGAGAGGCGGAAGCAGGCTCCCTGCTGAGCAGAGAGCAGGATGTGGAGCTCGATCCCAGGACCCTGGGATCTTGACGACCTGAGGACCTGAGGTGAGGGCAGAGGCTTTAACCCACTGAGCCATCCAGGCGCCCCCCGAAACAGGATCTTAACTTTAGGCTTTTCTGAAGCTCCGGAAGCACACGTATACCTGTGCGCGCACACACACACACACACACTCACTCGCTCACTCATGCATGTACCAGGCTTTTGAGTTGCAAATTAACATTAATGAAATCTCTGAAAAATTAGGATTGGGATGAGTGGACATCTGTGAACAAGTAATGAGAGTGCCAATTTTACCTGAGTGCTTTTCTTGGTGTATTTTTCAAGAACGAGCTGCTTTATTATGTCATTGGTAAATAATCATAGGCCTGATGTCTCACTCTATTCATAGATTCCACCCACACTTAAAAGGAAGGGGCCGTACAAGGGAAAAGGTCATTGGAGGTCACTTCAGAATTCTGCCTATTGCAATGTATAAAATTTCAAGTGTTAATTACTGCTAGTTCCCCCAATTCTTGTTTTTAAATTCCAATGCTTTTAATTCCATTTTTTTTTTCTGTAGGTGAATATACATAAGTGTGTATTTGCTTTATCTTTGAATTTTCTCCAGTGGTGTGAAAAAAAAAATAAGAAGGACAACCTAGATTTTTTTTTTTTTTAAGTTTCAGAAATGTAACTAGTAGGAGCATCATGGGGACAGAACGGTACTCTTAAAATGAAGGTCTGTGCTCTTTCCATTGTCTCTTCTTGCTGTGTATCTGGTAAAAAAGTGCTCAAATTTCTTCTCTTTAATTTTTCTTTCATGGGATAGTGACAATTTTACTTCTTTTTCAAGAAGTGACAATCTTACATCTTACTTTCCTATCCTTATATTTTATTATCTATCTATCTATCTACCTATCATTTATCTATTATATACCAATCATCATTGCCTTGTTTAGGACCTTCAATGCCATGTAGAATAGATGTCATGATAAGAGGTAATCAGTCTGTTGGGACTACCATAACAAAATACCACAGACTAGGTGGCTTAAACAGTAAACATTTATTTTCTCACAATTCTGAAGGCTAGAAGTCTGAGAAGAAGATGTTGGCAGGATTGGATGCGGATGACCACCTTCTTCTAGTATCTTTGCATGGTTTCCGCTCTGTGTGTATCCATGTCCTAATCTCCTCCCCTTATAAAGACAACAGTCATAGTAGATTAAGGTGCATCCAATAATCTCATTCTAAGTTAATTATCTCTTTAAAGACCTTATCTTCAAATATAGTCACCTTCTGGGGTACTAGGGGTTAGGACTTCAACATATGAATTTTGTGGGGACACAAAACAGTCTATAACAAGTATCCTTGTCTTATTCTTAATTTTAAAAACCATTGTTTTACTGCTTTAAATTTACACATAATATGTCAATTTCAGTGACATAAGTTGAAAGGAAGTTGGCTCTGGACCCTTCTTATCCCCACAAATACACTTATTCAGTAATAATTGCTTGACTGTGTACAGATAAATCAGATACTAATGGAAGGGCTGCAGCATTCTAGGAGAAAGTGCTCTCCATAGTTAGCAGGAGATCCCAGACATCGTCTTGTCAGAGACCTTGCACCCAACTTAGTGCCATGTGATCAAGAAGAGACCACTTAGCTTCCAGTTCACCCCGGGAAGAGGAGTTGGTTTGCATGCCCAGTGCCCCCAACTTTTTGGAGGAACTCCTTAGAGGACTGGCTTATGTCTTGCTAGACTTCGAGCTCTGATGAGTCTGGTACAGTCTAGCTGCCTGGGCAAGAACAGAGGTTGTGTCTTGGGCTGGTAGATGCTACTGATCCTCTCCTAACTCAATATAAAGCAAGCGGATGAAGAATGCCCAAGGCTCAGCTTCCTTCTGGGGAGAGAAAGTGTTGATCTGTACAACTAGTATCTCAACTTCTCCAAGGCTACCAAAGAATGAGCATCTGTCTTAAAAGTCTTGAAGCTCTGATGAATCCAGAACAATCAAGCCACTGACAGGGAAAAAGGAAGCAGCCTCTTGAGTTGGTAGATGCCATAGCCTCCCACTGTGTCTCAGTACAAAGTGAGCAGACAAAAATCACATCTGCCTGCTTCTCCCTGGAGAGGGAAAGTGTTGGTAGAGGCCCCCAGAACTTTCTGGCTGGGATGATTGAGGAGGGTCTTCTCCTTTACAGAGCTAGTTCATGAAGACTGAAATAGGTGCTTGCTCTGTCTAATGTACAGACACCAGCACAGAGAGTCAAGGAAAATGAAGAATCAGGCAAAGGGTTTTCAAACAAAGGAATGAGGTAAATTTCTAGAAACCAATTCCAATGAAATGGAATTATGTGATTTATCTAACAGAATTAAAAAGAACTCTTACCAAAATGGCTAACATGATAAACAGGACAATGCATAAACAGAGAATTTCAACAAAGAAATAGATAATACTAAAAATATGCAAAACAGAAACCATGGAGCTTAAGAACACAACAATGGAACTGAAAAACTCACTGGAGTAAAGAATACAATGACTGTCAGCACAGTTTAATGCCATTGCTGTGATTCATGGTAAGATGTCAACACTTCTACTCATAATTTCTATCATCAGTGTAAATGTCAACAAAGTGAAAAATGTAAATAATGCATTAGTTGATGACACATTGTATAAGGTTTATGTGGAATAGGCATCTGTGAATTATACTTTGAAAACTATTGCTCTATAGTATACCAGGAAAGCTCTAGCATTTTAACTTCATCTCATGTAGTCACCACTGGGTCCAGGTTTCAGTCAATCAACCCAATAAAACGTTAGAGCCACTTCCACTTCTCATTGACACATTCAATCTGGAATCTCTACTTTGTGAGCCCATACTGATCATCTGAGCTTGGACCAATGCTACATTTTTTTCCCCAGCATCATCATCCTTAGGATCCCTTCTCCTATGTGTTCCCCCAGATTTCTTTTGACATAAAATGGCAAAATCCTAAAATTCCTGATACATTTTATAGCTCCTCAGTGGCCACTCTTTTACTTTACCCTCTGGTGCCTTCCAAGATTTGTCTGGTTATATGATGTAAGATAGACTATAGGTCAAGAGTAATTCTTTGTAAGGTAGCTGCCTCAGGGGAGCCTGCAACAGTGTCTTCAGGCAACAGAAAACTGATCTTCTCAGACAGGAAAGGAAACCTCTTCTTTGGGCATAGGCAGAAGGATTTAGGATTTCAAGTTCCTCACTTCATAACATTCTAAGAACCTACCCTGATATTTGGGGTCCAAGTCCTTCCCAAGCAGTGCCTTAATTGTAACATCAGAGACCTTGCATCCTTGGGGATTCAATTTGTGCTGTAATTCGACCATGTGCAGGTTTAGATTTTATTAGGACTTGTTTTTCAGAAATCTCAGTGCTTCAGCAACAGGAAATAAGAGGGGTTTGTTTGTTTGAGGGTAATCACAGAAAGTACTGGTCAGTCAGACCTTCAGCTTGGAATTTAAAGACTCAAGTTTTAAGATCCATGACATCCCTCCCCTTCCTTTTCCAGTACCCTTTCAAGCAACCAACCAACTTCAGTGAACTCCTTACTCTTTCTAAACTGTGCAATGATAGCGAATATCAGTCACCCTAAGACTTGCCATCTTTAGATACTAATAATAGAGGTTTCTGAAGGTGTTAATTTAAGTAATTCTTTTCCACTGCGTGCCATGGACTGGTTTTAATTCTCTTATCCCTGGCAAAAGGATCATTAAGGCCTTTAACAACCTTTGATCAGACCAGAGAACCAATTCCAGAAACCCCAGGACCACTTCAGAAAACCTATCTTAAAGGCTCTGTTTCCCTTCTGTTATTGTTTTCATATCTGTTAAGATTCATTTGGAGAAGCAGAACGACTGCGAGTGACACTGAATAAAGGATTTGTTGTAGGCATTAGACCTTATGTAATTGTGAGATCCAATGAGGAGGTCCACTGGGGGGCTGGAAGTTACTGTGAATCAGCAGGGCTAACGATCAGGAAGACAACCCAGCTATGAAGAGGGAGAGAGCAAGGAGACATTGGAATTCAGGAGGACAAGCTGGAGACCAACCACGTCTGCCTCTTACCATTTCCAATCTCAAAGTCAAAGCAGAAGGAGCCGCAGGAGGAGCTGGCAGTTTTTGGCACCAGAGCGGCACACGCACCTGGTTCAGGACTTGGAGAAGCTGAAAGATAAACTCCTGTGGAGACTGCAAGAGCCACAGACTCGGCAGCAAACCCATCATCAAAAGCAAGCTAGGGGGCACCTGGGTGGCTCAGAGGGTTGAACCTCTGCCTTCGGCTTAGGTCATGGTCCCAGGGTCCTGGGATCAAGGCCCACATTAGGCTCTCTCTGCTCAGAGGGGAGCCTGCTTCCCCCTCATTTTCTGCCTGCCTCTGCCTACTTGTGATCTCTCTCTCTGTCAAATAAATAAATAAAATCTTTAAAAAAAAAAAAAAGGAAATGAATCACGCCACTTTAAAAAAGAAAAAAAATAAATAAATAAAGCAAGCCAGGAGAGCCTTGAGGACAGATGACCTGCAGCTGTGCTGGGAGCCCGAGGTCAGGCTCCCGAGCGTAGTAGCTGCTGCTTCATTTCCGCCTTACCAGTCTCCTGGAAACTGTTCTATTGTCCAGTCTCTGCCTAGAACTACACAGGGAAGGGCATCTGGTTCCAGATAGCTAAATGACACTGTACAGAGCTACCACAGATTTTCTCATCCCTTCTGAATTTTAAATTTTATCATTAAAAATGATTTATTAGCTTATTTTTATATTTGACACAATTTTTTATTATATTATTTTTATCGATCCATATCTAGTCTTGGCAACATTTCCTATTTCACATTCCCCTCATCTTATTGTTGATTTCTTATCATTCCACAATTAGAAAATATTTGGCTTCATATATTTATTCTTTTGATACTCTACAATTTTTTGCAGTCTGCTTTTAGTTCCTCAAGTAGTTACCTTGATTGCTATTAATTTATTTAATGATTTTAATTCTTATTTCAACAGTAAATGATTTACTGACTACTATGAATGATAACATAATTAACATAATTTGATACCCTCATAACTCCACTGTCTGATTTTTATTTTTATTTCACTGGTTTTATATTATTAGTATTATTTCTTTTTGTAATTAATCTTCATACCGTTGAGTATAACTCTATCACTTGATTAAGCAGCTCTATCTTTTGATCTCAAGTTATGTGTTCTCTGTACTTTGCCATCCCAAATTTTACTAGCTACATTACTATTTCTACTAGGCCACAGTTTATAACGTTAAAATTCTCTGCAAATATAGCTCTGTAATGGGTTTTAACCTATGTCTTCTATTCAAATGAACTCAATGCTCAATGTCAGAGTTTTTTTTTTTTTACCAGATTGTCTTATTCATTTCTTTTTCATTTTAAGTTCATTTTCCAATACAATTTTAAAAAATAGATCATGTGAATCACATTTTCTGAGAATATATATATATATATATATATATATATATATATATATATGGCTGTGGTTTTTAAACTTGTAAGATAGCTTGGCCAGGTAAGTTTTTCTTGTGGAATGATTTTTTTCTCGTGAGGAGGTTGTATGCATTGTTCTACTCTTTCCCAGAAATGACTACTACTGTGAGAAAGGAGAGGACACTCTAATTTTTGGAAGGGAAGCAGTGTCTTTTTTTCTGGACTTTCAAAAGTTCTTTCTTTTCTTGGAAAATCAGTAATTTTTCCAGGACATGTATTATAGTTGAAAATTTTGTTTCTATATTTTCTGACCCACGGTATGCCCTTTTTATCTATAATTTTTTTTATAATGTATAGTTTTAACTGCACCTTTTTATTTCAAGAAAGGATTTTCTAATTTAAATTATGTGGCCTTCATTTCTGTCATGATATATTTTCTTTTCTTTTCTTCTTTTATTTTTAGAGTGAGAGAGAGAGAGACAGCAAGCAAGCCCTGGGTAGGAGCAGAGGGAGAAGGAAATAGACAATCTCAAAATATCAAGCGAGCTCCACACCCAGTGGGGAGCCCATGGAGGGGGGTCAGTCTCAGGATCCTGAGATCATGACCTGAGCTAAAAACAAGAGTTGGTCACTTAACCAACTGAGTCACCCAGACACCCCTATATTTTATTTTCTCTTCTACTTCCTTCATAGACTTTTCTTATCATTTTTCCTTTGCTTTGGTTGTTTCTCAATCCTTAATCAAATTCTGTATGTTTCTAGATCTCTTGATTTTTAAGTAAAATAGTTTTACTACTGTTTTTGAGTTATTAAAAATGTTTTTGTTCAATATTTTCATTTTTAAGAACATCACTTTCCTGTTTATTTCCCCCCCTCAATTTTTTTCCTTTTGCTTTTTTCATACGTATTTTATAAATCTTATACAATTACAAAGACTATGTTCAAACAGGTGATTTCTTCCCAGACCAGTAATTTATTAGAGGGTGGTTGGTAAAGAGCCAGGGCTGTTGTCTGGGCTCATAGAAACCTTCCCTGGCTCACTGTGAAGCCCTCCAGCTGCTTAGCTGAGGGAAGTAAGAAACTTCCGAGTTTCTGATCATTCACACATCTCTGCATTCAGCACATTTGCAGATATGATGTTTTCTTATATTTCCAAATTTAGCTGTTGCTTCTGCCACATCGTGATGAGAGAAGGAATACGTGAAGGGATCTAGGATGGCATCTGTAGACAGTCCATATATCCCATTCTTGTAGATCTAAGTAATGGGTCACTAACTGTGTCCTTCTGGGTGTACCTTGACTCTGGAAAACCCTGTCTCTGTCTGGTATTTTAGCTGCTAGAATCTTCTCCACATATTCTCTCAGTGCGGTCAGTGCTCCCCGTAACCCAGTTGATACAGGTTTTGGCTACGGGTCTATCTTCGTTCCATCAAAGATGGAGTATCTTTGCTATTTCGTGTTCTCCGTATTATCTTGCAATGCAGTCTCAAAAGGGAAGGAGGAGACATCTTTCATACTTCACTATCTAGCTTAACCTTTTATAAAAAAGAAATCTATAGAAAATTTCAATGCTTCCTGAAACATTTTCACAATATGAATATTAAAATAAATTCTACAGAAAATATAAGAAAAGACAGCCTCACACAGAGCTGGCTCATCCACTTTTGAGCTCAATAGAAAGAAAATTTTTACTTTTTCTTATATATTTTGTGAATGTTAAAGAGGAAGAAGCAATACAACGGTTTCCATCAGGAGAGTAGGCAAATGGCACCAGATAAGGATTTCCCCTAGATTCTACTCTGTCTTTGATGAAGTTCTATATTATTCATAGTAATTTCTTTTTCTGAACAAGTTCTTATGAAAAGAAAATGTATCTAAGGTTTCTGGGATTCTGATCCCTTATTGAACTCTCAGCATGCAAAGGATATACAGAATACTTAGAGCATCTGGGGAAAGAAAAAGAAAGGATGTCTCCTTTTCCTTTTTCTCTCCATTTAAAATGCTGTGTTGAGGAGGGTGGATAGATATCAGAGGGCCCCAGGGTCCTTGGACTGGCAAGATGCTTGGGAGTTTTAGTGAATTTTCTTGGAAAAAGGTTTGAGCTGTGATCAGAATCCCAGGGATAGAGCAAGGCACTGGAGAGAGGGTTGCCTGTGGGAGAGTGATTCGATCACCTTGCACAGTTTCTTTTGCACTGGAATAGCTTGAAAAATAATTTGGTTCTGAGGCCCTTAGTAAGGCAGAAGTAATATAGAAATCCCTGACTTAACAGTCCTTGTGGATCAGACATGAAGATGAAGGTCTTGGCACATGCCTACTTGCACAGAGGACACTGAAATATGAATGTATACACTTTGATTCCCTGGTACTTTGTAAGCCCTCAGAACTTAGATAAAATCCTGAAGAAGACTACAAATGGAATGAAATTGTTTCCAATCATTCTAGAAGAATGAGGTATTGGGGCACCTGGGTGGCTCAGTGGGGTAAAGCCTCTGCCTTGGGCTGAGGTCATGATCCCAGGGTCCTGGGATCGAGCCTCACATTGGGCTCTCTGCTCTGCCAGGAGCCTGCTTCCTCCTCTCTCTCTCTGCCTGCCTCTCTGCCTGCTTGTGATCTCTGTCAAATAAATAAACAAAATCTTAAAAAAAAAAAAAAACAATGAGGTATTAAGAGAAAGTAACTTGACTAATACAATAAAATGAATAATGCTTCATTTTTATCATGCCTGGGGTTGTAGACAGATAAAAAATTTTGCTCCAGATATAGCCTGATGCTTTGGCTGGGCAAGTACTTGCAGATAGAATTGTTGATGGGTGGCATTGTCATCCTTTAGTTGATATATCCATTTTCATTTCAATCTTTCTTGTTCCCAAGAGAAATATTTTGGATTTCCCCCCACCATATGTATTAATTAGAAGATACAATTTTTACATAAGAATAAAAAAGAGTTTGGAAACTGAATTCCTCCTGCCATAAAATTAAAAGACTTAACAACATATCTTTCAAGCTGAAATAATCCCAATCAATGGTATGCTATAGGAAAGACAGTGTGGGCTTCTAAGTGGGAATTTATTGAATTAAAAAATTGAGTCTAGACATTTGACTTGCACTTACGGCGAATGCAGGTATTATAGGAGGGAAGCATATATCTTGTGCGATCATGTTCTGAAGTTGCTTCATACCTTCATAGCATTCATATAATGCTATGGTTTGCATTCAGGAAAATGCTTGTGGTTATGGTATGAAAATTAAATTTTATTTCTTCTGCAGCCACCAAAGAGAATTTGAATGTCACTGTTGATAGTCACCTCTCTTTCTTCTTCTTCTAATAGAGAAATAAGCCCTTCTTGCTGGGAGAGAAACTGAGTCAATCTACATTAGGAAACACAGACAAAGTTTGGTGAAGAGAAAGAAAACAAACTGTGTAACTCAGTGGTTGAGTATAGAATTTTTTTTATTAAAGATTTTATTTATTTGACAGAGAGAGATCACAAGTAGGCAGAGAGGCAGGCAGAGAGAGCTGCTCCCTGCTGAGCAGAGAGCCCCAATGCAGGGCTCGATCCCAGGATCCTGAGATCATGACCTGAGCCAAAGACAGAGGCTTAACCCACTGAGCCACCCAGGTTCCCCGAGTAAAGAATTTTTAAACAGAGTTTAAGGAAGGACATACTGGAATAGCTGTAGAGAGTGAGGGAAGTGTTTACAAGTAAAAAGGGTATTTTTGTAAATGACAACATGGATGCTTTATTTGCATGTCATTAATATTCTGTGATTTAATCTACATTCTGGGGTGCCTGGGTGGCTCAGTCGGTTAAGCGTCCAACTCTGTCTCTAGGTATTGATCTCAGGGTTGTGAGTTCAAGCTCCATGTTGGGCTCCATGCTGGGCATGGAGCCTACTTAAAACAAAACAAAACAAAATAAACCACCACCACAACAACAAAAAAACCCCTACATTCTAGTGTTTGAGCTAATCCAATGCAGCTAAGACAAAAATGTGTGCATCTAAGATATATAACAATTATAGCAGCATGTGTGTGAATTCAAAGAGTGATAACATTTTAGACTAAGGAATTTGGCCCCAAGAACCCCCAGTTGAGTATTACATGAATTTGCCACACTGTCTTCCTTGGTAGACTGGCAGCACCAGCTGCGGTGACAGGAGTGTCTCACTACCAAACACCTGGTGATGAGGGTAAAAGCCATCAAGTCCACCAGGGAGGCTGAAGTCTTGGGGTCTCAAATAGTGGTGAGAGAGACTTTGTCCCCCCATTACCTTGGTAGGTGTTATCAATTGATTCATGAACTTGTGTAAGCCCCTTGGGAAATCCTTATAAGTGTTTGGAAGGAAACCTGGAAAATTTATTATTATGCCAGTAATTTGAGAAGGACTTTTAAAGTTATTGTATACTAGGTATAGATACAAATGGGACCTAACCTGTGGATAAAAGCTAGTTCCATGATCTGTTAGTAATATCTTCTATGGGTCAAAATATTTTCAGGTATATTTCATTCAAGTTATGGTATGTACCAAGATTATTTAGAAGACCTAGAGCAGGAAATGCTCTATTTTGTGAGGTTTAAGCTAATAAAATGATGGAGGTGGGCTGCTGGAAAAATGATTTAAGATTTGGAATAGTTTACCTATAGCCATTTCTTATGCTGGTAATTAATTATATAGCACAGCTAAGCAAATGGCAATCCTATTTTATGACAATAAAATCATGTTTAGCTTTCTGTTCACTCCAGAAAAAGGAAGTAGGGCATCAATCCAACTCATAACGAAAAGGATATCAAAATATAAAGTTAAAAAAGAATGAAGTAAAGATGTAGCCCTACTTCATTTTTCTGGAAGCCACTACAGACCTTAGCAAATCCTGAACTTCTCTGGAGAGCCTACTAAATTGTGAGGGACACTTCATGGAGTTAGAAAACTCTCCTAGTTAAAGGTTCTGGGAGTAAGCTGGAGTACCGAGGCAAAAAAAACTGAAGGGACCTCTGGTATGAGGTCTTGTAGATCCAAGGGGAATAACGACTGCCTTAACTTATCTTTCTGAGACTGAAAAAGCACGCAAATGTGATAATGGCAGCCTGCCTGCATAGCTTCGGAAGCTTGACTCATCATCATCAGTTGGGATAAAATTATGTACGGCTTCCTCCAAAAGAAGGCATATTAAATCAGAATTCCAGCTGTGTCTTTCCCAACCTTTGGCTTATGTATCCAAACCAAGTATCCAAGAAATCTTGTAATTACATGGTAACTTGAGTGTCAGTGGTGAGACTTCTTTCTATCCTAATCCTGTCTTATTTCCACACTCCACAGACCCATACTCATGACATGGAAACTATTACCCTCACTGTGGAAAGTAATGTAGGGTGATACTTATGACTCTGAATCATGAGGAAGATTATTTAGGGACGAATTGTACTTAGAATATAATATCCCCTCTTCTAAATCTAGGACTTCCAAGTAAAGCAGTGAGTGAGTGGTTCACAATGCTTTTAAAAGATTACAGACTTTTAAAGGGAGATAATAAAAGCACTTGATCTGTCCCCAGTCTAGCCCAGAAGAAAATACTTTTTTTGCATTACATTTTGGGGAGTTCATGGATTCCCTGAAATATATTTAAATATCCCAGGTTAACAAGAATCTAAGGTTTAGGGGTTAGCGAGAGAAGATCAGTCCTGATGATTGCAGAAAATAGAGAAAAAAAGCTTCCAAACGAACTTTATTATATTAATACCTACTATGTATATATGTTGAGAGTATATTTTATTTTAACTCATAAACTTAACTCTTGTAAAGAGTGAAGATAATATAATTTAATATATACTTTCTGATAATCTGTTTAGATAAACTTACAGAATCTGAAAGAATGCATAATTGAGAGACTGCTTAGATTTTCTCTTTCAGTTATCCAATGTCCCAAGCCAGCCTTTGACAAGTTAGATGGCAATCAATTCATATCCATGTAATGATCAAGGAGTGATTCATATACGTTAGATAAAGCACAGTGGATTGATGTGTGAGAGAGAGAAGCCAGAAATTGCTTGTTTCCCCCACCTCCTGCTTTTTTGTCCTTGATCCCTTTAACTGTGAAGATTAGTTCATATTAGACAGAGAGTCAGTGTTCATCCCACTCTTATTTCCTTTGCTCTATTATATACTAAATGAGACATACATCACGTGTGGTAATTTAGAGCCTATATGGTGGGATGTTTAGGACCTGGTCAATAATAAACCAATAGGAATGTCTACGTTTCAGTTGATAATCAATTACATAAGTGGTTCCCATTCTGATATCAGGGCACTCTTTTTGTTTCAGTTCTTTGTCTTTTCCTCTTAATACTTTAAGGATGATTTTCTAATCAACTACCTCATGTTGCAATATTTAAAAAATAGATTTTTCTTATAATTTGAGAGTGGAAAGACAATGTATTTTCTTCTGTCTTGCCTTGCTAATGTTTTCTGCTTAGGAGGAAGTCCATAAATATTTGTTAAATAGTGTGGAATTTTATGTAAGAAGAGATAGGAACCAGAGAGATCATGTGAGTTCCTCAAGGTAATTTATCTACTGTCATGGATTAAGGATTATAAATTTGTCTATTGATTTAAAAGTAATCCTTTTCCATTAGAGGTGACATTTTAAGGTGTTTCACATGATCTCCTGAAACCTACAGTATAATTAAGACCCTAGGAGGCCTTCTTGTAGGAAATTCAAGGTCCCTGATTTTGCTGTAGTTCTGTTAGCAACTTGAACCATTATGATAGAAGTAAGCAGCAATAAAAAAATCTTACTCATATTCGTGGTCACTCCCGCGACCAAGCTCAAGTACTGGTCTCCCAAAATATACCATTATCCATTTTAGCTGTCATCAGCATCCAGGGATTCATCAAGCTGTAAAACCAGAAGCTGGTATTATATGGATTTGGGGGAAAATTAGCTCTTTCTCCCATTAAAAAAAAAAACTAGTTATTTTGTTATTTTGTATGTTGAAAGAAAATTGCTTCTTAGCTTCTTCCTGGTCATATTTTCCTTATCAATTTCATACAATATATACACCAGGCACAGATTCTTCATGAATAAATCGAGTACACTATTACACCGTGTCACCATATTTGGCATGAAATAAGAGTGCATGAAGAACTTGTGTGCAAATTAATATGTTACTAGTTTGACTATTATTTTTTATTGTTTTCACCAGAGAAAAAATAGAACTCATTTATTTTTCTATTCTATAAAACTTTCTTATATAAAAAAAGTAAAATTTTTTCCACATTTTATGAAATGTTTTATTGCCTACTGCCAAAAATTCATTAGTTAGTATTAATAATATTGGGCATTATATGTATGGCAAGTTTCATCTTCTTTGTTTTCCTCTTTAAAAATCTTACTGCTATAAACGTTGAGGAAATTTGCTAGTAATGAAACATATAATGGAAACAGATGACTCCACTTATCTTTTCTGTTCAGCTATCGGAAGAAATATCACTCCTTATTGTGAAAACAATATGTAACTCTGTTTATTGAAAGGACCCTCGTGAATGCCTTAGGAAGCTAAGTAATGCAAGTCACTCTCTGAGCTGTCACTTCATCAGAGGATGCTTTGGTTGCGGAATGGAGCAGATGTTCTGCTACATTTGTGTACTTTAAACACCCTGAAAGCATAAAGCCAGACTAAGAGCACTTGTTGGTGAATGGAAGATGCAAGTAAAGATGAAAAGGCTAGAGCCACAGGAAGAATGACAGCCGCCAGCAGGTTGTGGAGACCATTTGGCTGGAATACATTTAAAGGACCCAAATGGTAATGGTAACAATGTCTTGCACAATAGCCAGTCCTGGGAAAGTAAGGGACTTTAGAATATGTGAGGTAGTTTCAACCACAATAACAAAAAGTTCTTATGGAACTATCGAAGTCCTTAGAATAACAGAAACAAAAGCAAAATTTACTGTGATTTTAATTCCCCGTTGTTCCGAGGCATGATTTACCTTCCTTACAATAAAACATTTCTAGAAAAAAATCCTCGGTGAAGCTTTGTTATCATTACTTATAAATCTGTTTTTTCTTTCATGGATATATGACAAACTGGTTTTCAGCTTATGCTATAGTATGATCTCTTATTCCCAGAGGACAACGCACCTCCTTTTGTTTGCTATATGGCTGGAATATCCTGAAAGAAAGCACTTTGGTGTAGACCAGGGCTTCTCTCTCTCAGCACCATGGTATTAGTCTGAGTCATTCCTTGCTGTGGGGGCTGTTCTGTGTAGGATATTCAGCAGTGTCTCAGCTTCTACTCAGGAAAGACCCAGCTGTAAAAATCCCAGACGTTGCCCAATGTGCTCTGGGAACAAAACTACCCCCCGGTGATAATCCCTGCTCTGGATTCTGGTCTTCTGACATTCTTCTTTAGGATGATGTGATATGATATCTTAGGAGCCCTAAAGAATGCCGTTGAATGGTGAAATACGCATTTTAATCAACCTAATTGCTCCGACCCTTGAACAATTTAGAAAAGAAAGTTTAAAAAATGTATTAAAATTCACAACTTTATTGGCACTCAAGAAAGGGAAAAAATTCTTCCGTATGAATTACTTAATCCTGAGGCACTTTGGTACTCAATGTGAATAATAGCTATAATCATAAAATCCATTAGCATGCTGCCTTAAGTGCTTGGTGTTCGTCTCTTATTCATTGGATAATTACTGATTGCTTGGCGTGTTTTACCTGGTGCCTCTAACTGGGAATGTGCTACAAAAGGCTTTCATAGCTATTATATTGTACCATGTCAGTTTCTACTTTATTTCTCACACAAAGAAGGGCCCACATGAATTCCAAGATGTAAGAATGATTATCCTTTTCACATAGTAAATGCACCAACACCCCCTGTTGGTACAGATAAGCCTGGTGCTTATGAAACATAATTTGGCATCCTGTTAAGGCTATCATTTCTAGGACAGGAACAAATCCTAAATTTAAGAGACACCAAATTTGGGAGGGCTTCTTTCTTAATGAGGAAGTGGCACAGATGTTTCCCTTGAGGCAGGTGCTCTTCCACATTCATTCTTCTAAGGTTTATTGAGACCAGGCTGAGAGGCATATAGCATCCAAGTACTACTTGCTGTAAAATTCTTTACACAGAAGACAAGGAGAAAAGACTTAATTTTGTGAAAAACTAAATTAAAAAGCAGAACAGTAATATGAGAGCTGATGGGAGGTTATAGGGAAAGAATTTCTAATAGGGTGTTCTACATAGCAAGTGATAAAATCCAGAGTAGAGAGAGTACACTGTGTGCTCTTAAATTGCCGTGTGAATTTTGGTCTAGATCATCTTGAAGGGTGAATAAGAGAAAGAAGGACTTTTCAAAAGGGTACAATGGTAGGAGCAAAACATGAAAGAGACAATTCAAATTGGGTGCTTAGGAGTGTGTGGGGGGACATATATAGACTGGTTTGGTTTGAGTGGATGTTTTGTATATAGAGTTGATAGGTTAGCTGGAATTCAGTTAGGTAAGGTTTGAAGACTGTGGTTTGTTTTTCTGTTTTGAGTATTTTTATTTTAAAGATTTTATTTACTTATTTTAGAGAGAGGGAGCATGAGTGGAGGTGGGAGGGACAAAGGGAGAGGGAGAAACAGACTGCTTGCTGAGCAGGGAGCCCAGGAGAGCCAAGATCACAGGACACCAGGGTCATGACCTGACCCGAAGGCAGACACTTTACTGATTGAGCCACCCAGACATCCTGATTGGGTTTTATAATTTAGGAGAAAGGGAGACCTTCTTGATGGAGGAGGATAACTTTCTTTTTTTTTTTTTTAAGATTTTATTTATTTATTTGACTGACAGAGATCACAAGTAGGCAGAGAGGCAGGCAGAGAGAGAGGAGGAAGCAGGCTCCCTGACGAGCAGAAAGCCTGATGCGGGGCTCGATCCCAGGACCCTGGGATCATGACCTGAGCAGAAGGCAGAGACTTTAACCCACTGAACCACCCAGGTGCCATTGAAGGAGGAGAACTTAAATATAATAGTGAGTAACATGAATCTGGTATTAGTGCATAGTTGGGAAAATAAAATGATGAAGCCATGGCAAAGATGGCGGAAGAGAAAAGCAAAAGCAAATAGAAGAGAAATATGCAGGTATTAAATTTAATTATTTGGAGTGCCTGGGTGGCTCAGACAGTTAAGTATGTGCCTTTGGCTCAGGTCATGATACCAGGGTCCTGGGATCAACCCCCACATCAGGCTCCCTGCCCCATAGAGAACCTGCTTCTCCCTCTGCCTGCTGCTCCCTCGGCTTGTGCTCGCTCTCTCTGTCAAATAAATAAATAAAATCTTTAAAAAAATTATTTAATGTTTTATCCCAAATCATCTTCAGTGACAAGAAACAGCAGGACTTGGTCCGTAGTTCCGTTCCCTACATTCTATACTTTGTGCTGGCTGAAGTGGATGCTGCAATGTACAGCCCAGATTCCCCTTTAAGGCTGAAGGAACTTCCCCTCAACTCCAGAGCATACTGCCAAATGCCAGCCACTTCCATCTGCCAGTGTTTGCTGGGAATTACACTCTGTTGAAGAAAACCACTGTGACCAGGTTCCCAAAAACTTCCAGAAGGAAGTTGGTGTGTGGTATAAATACTCTGCCTATTCCCCATAGCACGCATTTTTCTGAGAAGTCATCCTGGCTCCAGCCTTTCCTACAAAGGTGGCTAACGTCTGGTTGTGAGCCTGCTACTCTCCCACTCCTGCCACTGCCACATCCTATGCCATATCCCTTCACCAAAGCTGTTAGTCCCAAGAGGACTCCCTGGTATACTTCCTGCCCAGGAATCCCCGAGTCCCTGTATCAGGGTCTGCTCACCGGTCTGTGACAGCTGGTGCCGGAGTGGTCTGAGAAGGTGGATGCCGTGATAAGATTGGGAAGCTGGGACACTCCTTGTCTCACTGTCAGTGAGGACCCTGTCACATTAATGAGTACAGGATGTGTGGACAATGCAGAGGTCTTGGTACTAGGTGGTGGTGGGATTGTTGAAACTGTCACTGGTGGCAGGCTGAGATGACATATCAGTGGAAGGAAGTGAATTAGTGAGAGCAATGTATGAGACACATTAGAAATATGGAAGATAAAGCAGATATAAGGAAAATGAAACTAGATATTTGCTAGGGGCAACTGATGCTCTGGAAAGAGTAAAAAGCTGAGGACAGTTTTTCACTGTAATTAAATTAACTATCAATTAAAAGTTGACAATGGAAGTCAAAAGGCCTTCCTGGCAGCATAGAAAGAAGAGTCAGAGGACAAAGAAAGTTGAACACTAGTCACAGAAGTTAATAAAATATATCATATCTATATAGAAAATTAAATTCCTGAATGAGGCAGGATCTTGGTTCAGAAAGAATGGGATTCTGGGGTGTGGGATGAGGCTATCTGAGTGATGAAACATAAAAATCTTCAATCCCTACTTCTTCTGAAACTTTGAGCCTATGAAAACATAGCCCCCTCCTCCCTATGAAGGACAACTTCTTCCTCCACATTCCTTAAAGATGAAACCGTTGGCAGTGCCCCAAAGTTATTTTGTGTCATTCTCCAGATCTTACTCATGTCTTCTCCTGACCACCATGGCAATAACTAAAGTTGAGTCACAGTGTCACCTGACTGGCAAAATGCTGGGTTTGGTTAGAGAGGAAAGGGACTACAGAGGAGATGCAGGACATATGATCATATATTAGCAGGAAATGGGAGAGAACATCTGGACTGGACTCTGGAGTCTTGGATCAAGGCGAGTAGAATATAAAGTTATAAAAAGAGAAATTTATGAATATGGGAACATTTTTTCTGGGATATAGGACTGGGTAAGAGATGATGCTAACATGCTTGTAGAATGAATCTTAGTTGCTTAAAGAAAGTGTTAGTCCATGCTAAATAGAGTAAAAATGTGAGACTGGCCATGGACGACAGTAGAAAGAAGGTCAAAAGGCTTAGAATCATGCACACGCCAAAATGGTTATATTCTACAAGGCTGGAGACACTCTGCGAGTTTCTAGGGGAGGACCCAGAGGACATTCTGCTTACTATATCAAAAGGAATGGGATGATGGGGAGGTATTGGTATCATCAAGAAGCTCAGCTGTAGCCATCATCTATAAGCCAGGGCTGAGGGTGAGAGATGCTATCACTGAAGTAAGTTCATTGATAGCAAAGGCAATGATAGGATTCTGACATAATAGAGACAGATAGAAGCCAGGCAGATGCAATTATCATAATGAGTGCTGAGGTGTTGGTGGGAGCCAGGGAGGCCTGACCCCCAGAGAGTTCTGAAGGAACATGGTATCTCCAGGGACTATGTAGATTGTCTGTCAGCCAACAAGGGTATTTCTTAATCTATTTAACCAGAAAAAGTCAATGAGAGGTGATTATGAGATTGAGTATAAGCATACCAGTTAAGAAATCATGATTCATTACTTAAATTTTGTACCCAAGTTGGTATTCATACCAGATCCTTAGCAAGTTCTTGAAAGGAAGGGCCCACACACCATAGTAAATATATAAGTAATAATTTTTCTTATCTTTCCCAAAGGGATGATAACTGTTTACTCTTAAAGTTTTATATACTGGGGGAAAAAAAAAAGAAAGCCTTTAAATTTTTAGGGTTATTGGTCTGAAGTCTGAATTGCCACTGATACCCAGACACCTGAGTCATTTTAGGCTCCCTCATATCATGAAGTCCTATGATCTACTGTCATTGGATCCATGCATCCATCCACTTGTCCTTTCTTTAGTCTCAACATGTGTAATTGGAATGGGTACTTTTCGTAGGTAACATAATGTCCCTACCATTGATTCCTT